CAGGAAGATTATTGATATAACAAATTCATTTTCACCACAAAATGACAAGGAATTTGCACATATTCCAAGACAGTACACATAAATTATACTTTGTACCAGCAGACCAGCACCTTCTGCACACTTTGTAGCACCAGATTTCATCAGTAGCATATTATACCAGTGGTCCCATTCATCTGTTTAATTAGTAAACATTATTTGAACATTTATATTGAGTGGGTCCTCTTTGAGACACTGGAGATACAATGCTGAATGAAACAAATAATTTTCCTGCTCTCATGGCATCTGATGTGAGAAGACAGACCATAATGATGTAAATAAATATCTTTTTCAAGAGTGGTACATGCGGGGACTCATGAGGTAACCTGCTCTTAGGAACCAGCAGTATGGCGTCGGGCTGCGAGATTGGCCCGTCTATCCTCAACAGTGACCTGGCCAATCTAGGGGCCGAGTGCCTCCGGATGCTAGACTCTGGGGCGGATTATCTGCACCTGGATGTAATGGACGGGCATTTTGTTCCCAACATCACCTTTGGTCACCCTGTGGTAGAAAGCCTCCGAAAGCAGCTAGGCCAGGACCCTTTCTTTGACATGCGCTTGATGGTGGCCAGGCCGGAACAGTGGGTAAAGCCAATGGCTGTAGCAGGAGCCAATCAGTACACCTTCCATCTTGAGGCGACTGAGAACCCAGGGGCTTTAATTCAAGACATTCGGGAGAATGGAATGAAAGTTGGCCTTGCCATCAAACCAGGAACTACAGTTGAGTATTTGGCACCATGGGCTAATCAAATAGATATGGACTTGGTTATGACAGTGGAACCTGGGTTTGGAGGGCAGAAATTCATGGAAGATATGATGCCAAAGGTTCACTGGTTGAGGACCCAGTTCCCATCTTTGGATATAGAGGTCGATGGTGGAGTAGGTCCTGACACTGTCCATAGTGTGCAGAGGCAGGAGCTAACATGATTGTGTCTGGCAGTGCCATTATGAAGACCCCAGATCCGTGATCAACCTGTTAAGAAATGTTTGCTCAGAAGCTGCTCAGAAACGTTCTCTTGATCGATGAAACCATAAGGAGCCCAGTGTTTCTGCTCATGAATTCTCTATTGTAAAACAGGAATATTGACTACCAAATCATATTGCAGTTGAGGCAGTACTGTTTTTCAAAGCAATTATTCATTCTAGTGATTAAAATCTATTGTGCAGAATGTTCTAAGAGGTTAGCAATTGGTGTGGTATAACTGCATTTTTAGTCATGCAATTTAAAGATTAATGTAGTGAAATACTCAGTTTTTACTGGGAGACTTGATTTTTATAAAGAGTAAAAATAGTCTGTATTAAGGTTACAAATAGAAATGTGTCTTAATGCCTAAGGGAGGCATATTAGCTATATGAAAAAAATTTTTTGTATTTCTAAAAAAAATTTCTGTTTCTCAGCTGTTTTCCAAATGCAAAGGAAATCCTTATGTTTTTCCTATTTCATGTCATTTGTGATTTGTTTATATGCTTGATAATATGAGAAGAATGGAATTAAAATATAAGCTTGGGTGGGATGGCATACCATAAAAAAAAAAAAGAGTGGTACATGCTTTTGGAGTATAATTGACATAGAGTATAGTAGGAGAGAAGGCTTGTTCTTTACCTAGAGGTGTCAAAAGGGCCTCTCTGAGGAAGTGACATTTGAGCAGATACTTGAATGAGCTAAAGAAAATAGCCATGCAAAAATCTGCAAAGTAGTCCATGTTGAAGGATCAACATAAAGGTCCAGAGGTAGCAGTGAGCTTGATTAGTTCAAGTACATGGAAAGGAGGCCAGTGTAGCTGGGATGCAGTGATCAAATGGGAGGACAGAGATGAGGTCAGAGAAGACAGAGTCAAGTCAAAGAGTCAAGTTTGTAATCTAAGTGCCATAGGAAGCCAATGGAGGTTTTAAAATGGTAGAATATTATCTGATTTATATTTTTAAAAGATCACATTGACTGCTCTGTGAAAAGGGATTGTAGTGGGACAATAATTGGGAGGCCACTCCAAAGATGAATATAAGAGTCCTGGCAAGAGAAGATGATGGTAGGGGCTAGGTGATAGCTGTGAAGTGATAAAAAGTTATCGCCTAAGATCTGTTTTGAAGGTAAAGCTGCCAGAGCTTGCTCATGGATTGGATGTGGGTGGGGAAAAGAAGAAAGAAATAAAGGATGATCCTTGGAGTTGTGCCTGAGTGACTTGATATATAATGATGACACAAAGATGGAAAAAATATGAAGATGAACTGTTTGGAGAAAGAGAAGAAAATGCAAGGGTTCTGCTTTGGACTTGTTAAATTTAGGAGTGTGTCTATTAGAAACATTAATCAGGCAACTGGATATATGATTCTGGAGCTCAAGACAGAGGATGGATTCAAGACATAAACTGGGTGTCATCAGCATATATAGATGAGACTTAATGAGATCACATAAAAGAGAGGTGAGGCAGGAGGATCACTTAAGCCCAGGAGTTGAGATCAGCTTGGACAACATAGCAAGACCCCATTTCTACAGAAAAAAATTAATTAGCCAGGCCATGGGGCACATGCCTGTAATTCCAGCTACTAAGGAGGCTGAGGCAGGAGGGATCACTTGAGCCTAGAAGTTGAGGTTGCAGTGAGCTATAATGGTGCCACTGCACTCCAGATCCTATCTCCTAAAAAAAAAAGAAAAAGAAAAAAGAAAGAAAGGGGTAGGAGAGAAATAGAAAATGGAGGAGAGAGAAAAGCGAGAGGAGGAAGTAAGCATGAGAGAGCAAGAAGAGGGGCTACAGAACTGAGGAAAAAGCCCTGGGCACTCCTTTTTTTAGAAGTCAGCATAAGGGAATGAGCCAGCAAAGAGATTAATGCAAAGTAAAAGAAACACCAAAAAAGAGATGACATTAGAGCCAGGAAGTGAGAATGTTTTAAGAAGTCATCAATGGATAACAAATACTGAGAAATGCCCACTGGAGTTTGCCAGATGGAATGGCCTTGGTACAGGTTGATTCTTTGAAGTGGTGGATATATATAATCTGATTGAAGTGGGTTGATGAGAGAAGAGGAAGTAAAGATGGCAAGTGTAGACAACTCTTTCAAGAAGTTTTGCTATGAAAGGGAGCAGTGAAATAGGCAGGTGTTGAAGGGAATAAGAGATAATAGGGAGAAGAATTAAGATGGGACATAATAAAGCATGTCTGGTGCCAGAGAGGGTGAGCCAAGACGAGAGGAAAGAGATAATTCTAGAAATGTAGTCGTTGTGTAGCGAGAAGAACATTGGGATCCAGATTAAAAGTGAGCTCCAAGAGGATGTTTCTAGAATTCTAGCTAATAGTCTAATGGGGTCTTGATCAATTAGTTGGAAAAAATAAGAACTACGGAGAGATTGGCAACGCGGTTTCCATGGTTCGGACACGTGCCATCTTTGTAGTAGAGTCATGGTATGTGCTGTTTATTGTTTCTTGCTTCCTCTTTTTTCTTTTTTCTTTTTTTCTACGAGGAAAGTGATAGGAAACTGCCCTGGATTACCAGGGGTTTATCATTTATTGGGGGTTTGGAGTAGCAGAGCCATAGCAACTCTTGAAACTCAGTCCTTCTGGACCAGCTAGTTCCTGAGGAGATGATTGTTTATGGGATGAAGAACGAGCCTAGAAATTTTTCTGTATTAGGAGCCCATGTAAAGAGGAACCCTTGGCTGAGCTAAGAACAGAGGAAGTGGACTTGGTTTCCTTTGAAGAGCACTGAAGTCTGGGCATGGATCTGAGTCACCAGCAGACCAGCACCTTCTGCACACTTTGTGAGATTTCATCAGTAGCATATTATACCAGTTGTCCATTCATCTGTTTTATTTGTAAACATATTTGAACATTTATATTGAGTGGGTCCTCTTTGAGACACTGAGATGTCAATGCTGAATGAAACAAATAATTTTCCTGCTCTCATGGCATCTGATGTGAGAAGACAGACCATAATGATGTAAATAAATATCTTTTTCAAGGAGTGGTTCATGCGGGGACTCATGAGTAACCTGCTTCTTAGGACCAGCAGTATGGCGTCGGGCTGCAGATTGGCCCGTCTATCCTCAACAGTGACCTGGCCAATCTAGGGGCGAGTGCCTCCGGATGCTAACTCTGGGGCGGATTATCTGCACCTGGATGTAATGGACGGGCATTTGTTCCCAACATCACCTTTGGTCACCCTGTGGTAGAAAGCCTCCGAAAGCAGCTAGGCCAGGACCCTTTCTTTCACATGCACTTGATGGTGGCCAGGCCGGAACAGTGGGTAAAGCCATGGCTGTAGCAGGAGCCAATCAGTACACCTTCCATCTTGAGGCGACTGAGAACCCAGGGGCTTTAATTCAAGACATTCGGGAGAATGGAATGAAAGTTGGCCTGCCATCAAACCAGGAACTACAGTTGAGTATTGGCACCATGGGCTAATCAAATAGATATGGACTTGGTTATGACAGTGGAACCTGGGTTTGGAGGGCAGAAATTCATGGAAGATATGATGCAAAGGTTCACTGGTTGAGACCCAGTTTCCCATCTTTGGATATAGAGGTCGATGGTGGAGTAGGTCCTGACACTGTCCATAGTGTGCAGAGGCAGGAGCTAACATGATTGTGTCTGGCAGTCGCCATTATGAAGACCCCAGATCCGTGATCAACCTGTTAAGAAATGTTTGCTCAGAAGCTGCTCAGAAACGTTCTCTTGATCGATGAAACCATAAGGAGCCAGTGTTTCTGCTCATGAATCTCTATTGTAAAACAGGAATATTGATACCAATCATATTGCAGTTGAGGCAGTACTGTTTTCAAAGCAATTATTCATCTAGTGATTAAATCTATTGTGCAGGCCGGGCGCGGTGGCTCACGCCTTAATCATAGCACCTCTGGAGCGCGAGGCGGGCGGATTGCCTCAAGGTCAGGATCAAAACCAGCCTAGAGCGAGACCTCGTCTCTCACCATAAAATAGAAAGAAATTAATTGGCCAACTAATATATATAATATAAAAATCAGCCGGGCATGGGTGGCTCAGTGCCTGTAGTCCCAGCTACTCGGGGAGCTGAGGCAGCAGAGATTCTAGAAGCCCAGGAGTTTGGAGTTGCTGTGAGCTAGGCTGACACCATGGCACTCACTCTAGCCTAGGCAAGAAAGCGAGACTCTGTCTCAAAAAAAAAAAAAAAAAAAAATCTATTGTGCAGAATGTTCTAAGAGGTTAGCAATTGGTGTGTATAACTGCATTTTTAGTCATGCAATTTAAAGATTAATTTAGTGAAATACTCAGTTTTTACTGGAGACTTGATTTTATAAAAGAGTAAAAATAGTCTGTATTAAGGTTACAAATAGAAATGTGTCTTAATGCTAAGGGAGGCATATTAGCTTATGAAAAAAATTTTTTGTATTTCTAAGAAAAATTTTCTGTTTCTCAGCTGTTTTCCAAATGCAAAGGAAATCCTTATGTTTTTCCTATTTCATGTCATTTGTGATTTGTTTATATGCTTGATAATATGAGAAGAATGGAATTTAAAAATATAAGCTTGGGTGGGATGGCATACCATAAAAAAAAAAAAGAGTGGTACATGCTTTGGAGTATAATTGACATAGAGTATAGTAGGGAGAGAAGGCTTGTTCTTTACCTAGAGGTGTCAAAAGGGCCTCTCTGAGGAAGTGACATTTGAGCAGATACTTGAATGAGCTAAAGAAAATAGCCATGCAAAAATCTGCAAAGTAGTCCATGTTGAAGGATCAACAATAAGGTCCAGAGGTAGCAGTCAGCTTGATTAGTTCAAGTACATGGAAAGGAGGCCAGTGTAGCTGGGATGCAGTGATCAAATGGGAGGACAGAGATGAGGTCAGAGAAGACAGAGTCAAGTCAAAGAGTCAAGTTTGTAATCTAAGTGCCATAGGAAGCCAATGGAGGGTTTTAAAATGGTAGAATATTATCTGATTTATATTTTTAAAAGATCACATTGACTGCTCTGTGAAAAGGGATTGTAGTGGGACAATAATTGGGAGGCCACTCCAAAGATGAATATAAGAGTCCTGGCAAGAGAAGATGATGGTGGGGGCTAGGTGATAGCTGTGGAAGTGATAAAAAGTTATCAGGCTTAAGATCTGTTTTGAAGGTAAAGCTGCCAGAGCTTGCTCATGGATTGGATGTGGGGTGGGAAAAGAAGAA